TTGCTTGCTGGCGGGACAAGCAGAGAACAGTGTGATGAGTCGAGGCGTCTCCGTCCCCACCTGCATGGTGGACAGCACGCAGATTCGGAGCTGCTTTCCAAAAGACATTGGCGCAGAAGCCTTTGTCTAGAGGTCACTGTGTCCTCTAGACTTCGTTATCGGCAGATCAGCCAAGAGTCGCCTCTTGGGGCCACCAGCAAGTTATGGAAATAAGTCTCTTATAAAACCCTTTTTTTTTTTTTCCTGTGTAGTAATGATTAATCGCAGTGGTGGTTCTTGTTTGCATCTGTGTCTGGTACAGTAGTTCCGACAGCAAGGCTTTTGTCCTTCCGGGTCCCACATGTGGGAAGAGACTGGCTTGTGGGCTGTAGGGAGAGGCTCAGACCCACGTGCTTCTTTCTTTAAAAAAAATTCTCTGAAACGGAGATACAGCGGCCACGTGGCGTTGCATGGGTGTTAGGTGTGCGGCGTATGCACACGTTGCAGAATGATCTGCACGGTACGTTAGTTAACGCCCGTCAGCACAGAGCTGCTAAGTTTTCATTCTTGCAATGGGAACGTTGAAGATCTGCCCTTCATGTGTTCAGATGCACAGCACAGTGTCGTTAGTTTTGATCACCATCCATGACGTCCCTGGCACTTGTTCATCTTATCGCCGGAAGTTCGTGCCTTTTTGACCAACCCCGTTTCTGTCTGGAGCGAAACGTAACGGTAAAATGCAGGCGTCAAGCAGCTGGAAAACGAGCCTCAGGTTTTCGGGAGGGAACCCCTCCCTCGCGGGTCTGTTGTCTCTTTTTAGGCACCTGGAAAGTCGCTCGTGGCCAACGCCTTAGAAGCCACTTAGGAAGGAACCAGACTTGACTTTCTGTTCTGCCGCCTGGATGTGTGGAGGCGTCTTGAGTCTCAGCTCCTGCCCGTTACCATCTTTTGCAGACAGTGGGGCGAGGTCGGGAGCAGGGGCGTGGGTAGCGAGCGGAGTAATGGTGGGACGATGCGCAGTGTAGGGCACGAGTTAGAAGACGTGCTTTCGAGGACAAACAGTACCATTTCGGCAACCGGCTAGGTGTCCCACCTGTGACTCCGACCGTGTGACCGAGAGAGGTCACTTATCTCCATCCGGCCACAGGACAGTGTCTCAGCTCAACTCTACGGAGTGTGCTCTCCGGAAGCCTCGTGGAGGTGATAGTTTCCACAGGAACCGACATCGTCAGATAAGCAACCGCCAAGTTCCCCGGACGGTTCTGTCCTCTGTCAGGGGTCAGGTGTCCAGGACTTCCCTGCCTGCTCTGACTTCCTGCTGGGTACCTGCCCTCACGTCCACCTGTGCAGCACGTGTAACGGGCCATGAAGACTTGTGGAGACGAGTCAGTCCTCCTGTGTGGAGGCTGGGCTTATTTGAGCCAGGGTCAGCCGGTGACTGTCCTCAGGCATGATGTGCGGGATTAAATTGGGGTAGATCCATATAACTTAAGGTTGTCACATGTAAATTTTTTGTTGCAATATGCAGACTGATGTCTCTTGGGGAAGATCCCTTGAGTGGGAACAGAATTATCGAATTTTAGTCCTGGTGCTGTCGTTAACCACCCGTGTGACAGTGGCCTCGAGAGGATCAAGCTGGCGTCCCTGCCAACTGAGATGCTGGCAGAATGCTGTCGTGGCTGCCCCAGGACCGCGTGGCCAACCCGTTGTCCGTGGCTGTCACCGTGTTGACAGACGAGTGCGGGCATTGCCCGGCCACTCGTGGTGGCGGTAAAAATTACATCACGGCGCCATCCAGGGTCCGGAACGCTGTGCTGGGGATCTTGTCACCTTATAAGGAATTCTCGACAGTGATTACGTTCGCTGTGACTTCTAGTGAGTGCACGGCTCTGGGGAGGAACCGGAAAAGGGTCACCTCCCAGCATATTCCAGCCTGCGGGCTCGTCTCGTGACGACGTGTGCGAGCTGTCCCTGACCTAGCGTGCGAGGTAAGGGCGCATGTGAGCTCGTCAGAGGAAGTCACGTTCAGACACTGCGTCTACATAGAAGTAGGGAGCACGGGTGGGTCACCTTGACCGCGGCGTCCTCGTTCCTTTGGAAGATGCACGAGCTCGCACTGTGGCGGCCGGCACCACGGGTGGAGGGGTTTTTCCCTTTTTTTTTTTTCCTGAAACGTCCATGGAGAATCCACTCCGAGACTGATCAACTTACTTTTTTAAGCAAAACAAAACAAGGTGATTTTTTGTACTGTTAGGAGGTTTGGCGTAAGAGTCATTATTGCAGGTTGGCGACCCTTGTGCATTTAGGGGGGGCTCCGCTCCCTTTGGGGAGGACTCCTCGCTCGATAAGCTCGGTTCCTGCGGCGTCTGGCTTAGGACGGGCGTCCGGGAGAGCGGCCGTGTCGCGCTGTGGCTGCCTGTCAGGCTTGCTCAGACTCCGGAAGACGTTTCTGCCTTTAGCCCTCTTGTTTTTCTTTATTTTTTTGTTCATTTGCTTTCCTGGAAACGTTTCCATATCTGGTCCGAGAGGAGGTCTCAGACAGGAAGAGCGCGAACAGGCCGCTTCCTAACCAGCCGTCGATTCTTGCCCTAAATGGTGCATTTCTGCCCCTCTATTTCTCTCCTAAAAAATGGGGATGCATTCCGGAGCTGCTCCTGAGTGTCCCCTTCGTCCTCCTGGGCTGCGGCTGTC